ATAGTGTGGTCATTCTTCGTCATGATCATACCCCCTCATCCATGGTAAACAACACTGATGACCGAAACAATGCTTACCAAAGGGAAACTGAAGCTTGAGGACCACGAGGGAGGTGGAAGTGCCTCAGGTAGATTGTATAAAAGGAAGTGTACAGTTAAGAGTAAAAATGGGTGTGTTTGATGAAACAGGAGACTTCTAATATGCTTTGATGGACTCATTTAGACCTAAGCATTCTTAAGAACTGATGTTGCAGTCTTAGATATATGGTTCAACAAGTAGAATGTCTTTCTATTTGATACTCTTGAGTTACCGTCTGTAAGGCTTGTGTTCCACGATATATCATATTCTCTACTGTTCCACGATGTTGCAGTCTTATACACAGTTAACTATTTTTTAGAAATTAAATAAAATTAAATAAGTATTATTTTGTGGTTAAAAATTTCTAATGATGTTCAATTTTTTTTATATGAAATAATATTTTTTTTTCTTTTCCATTTGTTAGGCACTAATTTTATTTTCATTAATAACATTGACAATAATTTTATTTACAATTCAATTAATAGAAAGCAATTGAATTTCATTGGATCCTTTAAAAAGTTTTTTTAAAATAAATAAGTCTATATTTAACAGATTTTTATTGTTTTAATTTGAAATAAAATATTTTGGTTTCATTAGGTTTCTTAAAGATGGTAAAATGATAATCTCAGCTTTCGTACTTTTAAATTCAGTATAATTGAGTTAAACTTATGAACTTGCTAATAAATAAAGTAAGATACATTATTGATATTGTAAAGCTAAAAAACATTATTTCTTAAAAGTAACAATGACTTCAAGTAACACACTATTGACACATAAATACAAAACTACAAAATATTAAAGAGAAGGGTGTTTCATCAAATGAAAAATGAATTGCTTTTTAACTTTGATGGAAATCTCCGTGTATACGTAAGATTAGTTTGATCGTTAATATCATATTCATCTCCCAAAACCATTTTTAAGAAAATCAATTTGATATAAATGTGGTCGAATCTCTAAACTTGAATGTTATTATCATCTCCCGTTTATATTTAGTGGAGGAGGCTAGGTATAATTGTGATAAGTGGGCTAACTATTCTCTTAAAAAAATATAAGACAAATATTTGATAAATTTTGCCATTTCACATTTAATAGAATGTTATGTCATAATAAAATTGAGGAGAGTGTTTCTAATGATGATACATAAACAAATCACTTCTCAAAATAATGTATAAGGGATTCCGAGAGTGTTATGGCTTTTGCTAAATCTTTTGAGTTTTATCATATGTGACACCCAAAAAAACCAAGGAATGAATGAATAATATAAAACCTAACTAATGGCTTAATTAAAAGAAAGAAAAAAAATACAATTAATCAGCAGAGGTTTATGGACTCTCATTGCTTGTTTATCAGGGTAAGAAACCATTCATCGGTTTCATGTTCTTGAAAACTCTTATCGGGTCGACC